AGAGGAGTGCCAAACTTGGAAAATAGTCGGCGACGACGCTGGGCGGCGCCGCTGGACGTTGAGGTCTGGAAGGTGCGGCGGGCAGGCCTAGCTGTGACTGGGTCACATCCACTGAGGGTTTTGGAGGGACGACACCGTTCCTAGGACGAGGATCAACGCCTTGTGGAAGGGACGAGTGTGTGAATATAGTGATTAGCTCAGTGCCCATTGGTGAACCAGGATTGGGATAGCTGAATCTCTGGGATTGGAACGGCGACGACGCGAAGGCTTCACGTCACCTGAGGACCTGTGGAACGTTCCTGGATCGTCAAGGATCGACTCAGGAAGCGTGGGAACCTCACACCATCGAGGGACAGGCGTCGTGAGCCAGGAATGTAAGGTAGATCAATTTTCCCTCCCATTACCCCTTGTGTGAGTAGGCTAGATAGGCCACGATATTTACTTATGTATGTGGCAGTATGACATTAATACTTTAGTAGTAGAATAGGCTGCAGGGCAGCTTGTGTCCAGGACTGTTGGAGAGGACAGTGTGTGTGGACGGCAGGACAGTTGAAGAAGAGGTGCCGACGTGGTGAAGAGGCCCTTCTGTGAGAGAGTGTGTGACTCCTGTCTAATCTGCCCAGTTGAAGGAGTGGTTGGAGGTCGTGAAAGAAGAGTTGCTGAAGATCTCCAGATTTATTATCCTTATTTTCATTTTCATGTATTGCTTGTGATTGTATGTGTGATCATGTAATTTGTGTCAGTAAATTCACACATTTTACCATTGTGTTTAAGTGTGCCTCCATTATAATATTTCTCTATGAGCATACACGAGGGTTATCATAGTACCACCTAGGGAACGTCGCGTTCTCTATAGAAGTTCTTATCGCCTGGAGAGTGGTAAAGCAGCACAGACTTATATAAGAGTGTACCCTTAGCCATCCGGCTAGTATCAGAGCCTGACTGGTGGCAACAGGTAACGTAGTGGCTGGAGAGAGGTAAAGCCACACAGACTTTTATGGGAGAGTACCCTGGGCCGACAGTCCAATAGCAGATCTATGGGAGTAGCAACACTCTGGCAACAAACAGTATAGAATACACCCACTGAACTGCATCGCTGGGGTGCAGATATACTAACCCAGCTGGCGACCTTGTTAAGAAGAAGATAGAGAAGGCAGGCGGGAAAGGAGTTCCTGCAACCTTTTTGTCTGGCAGGCAAGACTCAGGGGAATTTATTGTTATAAGGTAAGCCTGAGTCTTCCTTCACTCCTCCACGGGTCTAGGCCGGAACTGCTGATAGCAGTTTCCCCGTGGTTGACTGAAGGGCTTCCAGGGTGAATCAGTGGCACCCCCTTCAGTGGTGGAAGCAAAGACCTGCGGTGGTGGGCATTGCTGGTCCTCTCCTGTGGGACCAAGGAGACTCCGGTGAATCCCGGGAGTCGGAGGGGCTGTGTATTCTGCCTTCTGAGCCCCTAGCAGCCGAGTGCTAGCGGAGCCCCGGCCCACCCCCCGTGTGACAAAGTTTGGCTCATAGTAACAAGGGTGTGAGGGAGAGAGAAGGCAAGGGGACTGTGTTTCAAGTGCCTAACGGTTCCCTGCCGGTGACGTGACATCACCAGCTGGCTTAATTCGCTCCGATTAGGTCCGGCACCTCTGGCCGGAGGCCTCGCTCTTAGCTGATTGGTGGAGCCTGGCACAGCAAAGGGAGCCGCGACGTCGAGTTTTCGCGCCCAAGGTGTTATTCTGTCCTGCGATGCTGTGTCTTCGATAGTAGACGTGCATCGCCTCTGTTCCGGCTAGAGCAGGGGTCTATTACTGTCTATATCAAGTATTCAGCCAGCTTATTACTCCTCCGCCATCCCCACACTTCCGTAACAGAATTGAAGGGCGCCGCCAGAAGCTAATTTAACGAAGACACGTGAAGTCTTAGCCGTCAGCAAGTGTCACCCACAGGTGCGACCAGGCTGTGTTCAAGTGATTGCGAGTTATCAGCTTCACCGAGAGCAATCCGTCATTTTATTGCTCAGCAAACTGTGAGAAATAGAATCAAGTGGCGATTCCAAGCGTTTGAGTGAAGATCGTGTTTAAATTTTCAAAATAGGGGGGAAGCGTGGACTCTGTTTGTGGTCCCATCCACGAAATTGTTCCCCGGTGCACTCCTCGTGGTGCCCTCCCAAAGATATTCCAGCGTGCATTCAGTCAGCCTTCAGCAACATATCACGCTAGTGTGTAAACCAGTGTTTATTGTGTACACGCCGTCCCCGTTCATTGGTGGGGGAGTTAAGCAAATCTTGACCTTAGCGTCGCGCGCGCATGTGGCTACCTTAAACTGTAACCGCCAGCCTGTTCACCTCACGCCTCGCCTCGCTACCCTGGGGCAGCGTCCAGCCGCCCATACCTCCACCTCACTCCGTCACCTCCAGCGTGTGCTTCAATCAACAGCTGGGACAGTGAGTGTGAATGCTAAGCGAGTGTGTGTCATACCGGTATAATTAACATGAGTACTCAAACTATTTCTCTATCTTTCGTACGTGTCAAATTCCTTGTGTTGATTTTTCTCAGCCGTTAGGTGTTCGTTCTTTTTAGTTCCCCTACGGGACCGAGTTCGATTCCCCGAGGAAGCACGATAGGTAAAGACCTACTACAGTTATTCTGTGTGATTACTGTAGCTGGACTTTAAGTGTGTCTGTCATCTTACAGATAATTAGTTACCCACATTTAGCGACGTGTGTCATTGTGTGTTTTATTTGTGGTTAGTGTGGTCTTAATATTATACCATCACTGTATTTCATCACTTAATATTATACCATCACTGTATATGAACCCATTTCCATGCCGTTGTGTTCTGTACTTCCAGGAGATATGCTGTAAGTAACAAGTAAGGTTAATTGTGTATTCCTTATTATTATTGTATTGACACGTGTGTCAGTGTGTTGTGTTCATTAATGTGTACTATATTATGTTGGTCTCTGTGACCTGGTGTACTTTGATTTAGTGTAATTATTGTGTCGGGCTCTGTGACCTGTATTGTTGTGACTCAGTGTCATTGTTGCATTGGTCTCCGTGACCCCGTACTGTTATACCTTGTGTTCATTGTTCTTGAGTCGTCAGTGTACTCAGTGTTCATTATTCTTGAGTCGTCAGTGTAACCTTGTGTTTATTATTCTTGAAGTCAGTGTTCTATTTTAACGTAATTAATTATCGTTTGATTAAGTACGCGGTGATTAGCAATCGTATTGACTAATCAGCGTTTGTTAAGCGGTCTCAGTGACGGCCGAGCGATAACGTCAATTCTTCGTGAATCAAGTTGAACTGTCAAGTTATGACAGATCCTTGAACGATTACTCAGGGATTGCTAATTACCCGTAAGCTCTTATTGATTTCATTGACATTGTTTTGATTGGTTGGACTGTCTGTGTTGACAGAGTGTGTTAACGTAGTTTTCATTGTTTTGATTTGAATGTCTTGGGACATAGTAACGCAAAACATCTGTAATGGTTTGATTGAAATTGATTGGATCAATTGTCATCCATCTGTCAACGTGTAACGTAGTTAACTGAGTGTTGCATGGAAGACTCGTCTTCAACCTGTCCTCTTAAAAATAATGTCGCTTTTGGCCGTTTGCCCGTATGGCCGAAAGTGGACGTAATTTGAAAATGAAAAAAGAAGATAAATTTCGGATTTTTTTTTCAACAATAGTAAGTTAAGGGTCCTCTGGTAGGTTAGGTGGGCAGGAAATTCTCATAAAGTTTCAAATTTTTATGAAAAATGTTGATTGAAAGTTTCCTCTCCTAACCTTTCCGAGTAGGCCGGACGACTCAAACAGAGTTAGGGACAGTACGTCACTTTTGCGAGTCGATTTCATTTCAAATTACATCCACTTTTGGCCATAGCGCACATATGAGCGAAAAGCGACGTTATTTTTAAGAGGAAGGGTTGCTCAGTGATAAGTCTGTCCATTGTTGTTTAAATTATAAATCACCCCACCCTGGTCATGGATTTCACATCTGGCGCCAACGTGGGCCCTTTGTCTTTTCACTGTGCGTTATTGCTGCTTGCCGCAGTCGTGTCGAACTGCCATTGCGTCTGGAGTGGTTGCCCACTTTGTTAAGATTAATTAGAGTCAGCAGTACCGTGAGCGGTCCGAAACGGAAGCAATGATTCCGGTTAGCCTAGCCTTGTCAAGCGCCACGACAGATATTAACGTAACGTCAGGGTATTCTTGCCATGTATCGTTAGTATTAAGTTTTATGAATAAACTATTTGTTGAACTACAAGTGCCTTTACTATCATACTTTCAAAACCCTTGTAACTAGTTATTACTTTGCCATTATTCCTGTTTTAAAAGTGATCCTTTTGTATGTTGCCTGGATTACTTGGATTCGAACCGGTTTCATGGCCATACACATCAAATACAAATTTATTTGATGTGAAGACCGAAGAGCTACTCTGACGACCTCCCTCTGAGGTCCCAGAAGCTCCACGACTCAACGGATAAGGAGGGCCAAGGATTTGGACTTCTGCAGTTGCTCTATGCAACCGTGGTCAGTCATTAAAGTACAATCTGCCCCTCAGCATTTGTTTTGATGCTAGTTCAGTCCTTTCCGACCGAGGTCACACGTATTATTATTGAGTTCACCTCTGGTGCCCACGTACTCCTGTTCAATTATTATTTTGGGTGCTACGAAGTGCCCATCTGGTCAATAGATACTTGTAACCTGTTCACCTCTAAAACGGGATAATCTCACATACAGGAACTATAATGCAGCAGTTGCCGAGAAACAGACAGCGCTGTATAGTCTTGGCTTGGTGCATTCTTTTTTCTGATAATTACATGATAAACATCAGGATCTGCGGGTTTGTACAAGAATCCAACCAATTACGAACCACTTATTTTGATGAAGGGGAACAACAGAGCAGAAATGCACCCAGACCACATCAGGCTCATAGGATCCAGAAGAAGAGAGGAAATGTCAGCATTGTGGAGAAATACTAAAGACACCCTTCGAACATTATCTAACACAGTTAGATAATGTTCACACTTGCACACTTGCCAAGCAAATAAGATTACCACTGAGATTTAACAACGAAGTTATTAATTAAATACATTAGACATGACCTTAATGAAACCAACATACGAGTCATAAATATTCATCCACCTTCCGGTAAGACTGATATGAGGAGCACTGAGCGGCCAGCCAGAGGCTTAGGCCCCGCGCACCAATATCCTTGGACAAAATCCATGGTGATCACCATCATCAACATGGTGATCCCCATCATCAACATGGTGATCCCCATCATCAACATGGTGATCACCATCATCAACATGGTGATCACCATCATCAACATGGTGATCCCCATCATCAACATGGTGATCACCATCATCAACATGGTGATCCCCATCATCAACATGGTGATCACCATCATCAACATGGTGATCACCATCATCAACATGGTGATCCCCATCATCAACATGGTGATCCCCATCATCAACATGGTGATCACCATCATCAACATGGTGATCCCCATCATCAACATGGTGATCACCATCATCAACATGGTGATCCCCATCATCAACATGGTGATCACCATCATCAACATGGTGATCACCATCATCAACATGGTGATCCCCATCATCAACATGGTGATCACCATCATCAACATGGTGATCCCCATCATCAACATGGTGATCCCCATCATCAACATGGTGATCCCCATCATCAACATGGTGATCCCCATCATCAACATGGTGATCCCCATCATCAACATGGTGATCCCCATCATCAACATGGTGATCACCATCATCAACATGGTGATCCCCATCATCAACATGGTGATCACCATCATCAACATGGTGATCCCCCATCATCAACATGGTGATCCCCATCATCAACATGGTGATCACCATCATCAACATGGTGATCCCCCATCATCAACATGGTGATCACCATCATCAACATGGTGATCCCCATCATCAACATGGTGATCCCCATCATCAACATGGTGATCACCATCATCAACATGGTGATCACCATCATCAACATGGTGATCCCCATCATCAACATGGTGATCCCCATCATCAACATGGTGATCACCATCATCAACATGGTGATCCCCATCATCAACATGGTGATCACCATCATCAACATGGTGATCCCCATCATCAACATGGTGATCACCATCATCAACATGGTGATCCCCATCATCAACATGGTGATCACCATCATCAACATGGTGATCCCCATCATCAACATGGTGATCACCATCATCAACATGGTGATCCCCATCATCAACATGGTGATCACCATCATCAACATGGTGATCCCCATCATCAACATGGTGATCACCATCATCAACATGGTGATCCCCATCATCAACATGGTGATCACCATCATCAACATGGTGATCACCATCATCAACATGGTGATCCTCATCATCAACATGGTGATCCCCATCATCAACATGGTGATCACCATCATCAACATGGTGATCCCCATCATCAACATGGTGATCACCATCATCAACATGGTGATCCCCATCATCAACATGGTGATCCCCATCATCAACATGGTGATCCCCATCATCAACATGGTGATCCCCATCAACATGGTGATCACCATCATCAACATGGTGATCACCATCATCAACATGGTGATCACCAACGTCAATGTGGTGTTCGCTAAATTCTTGTTAAAAAATTACTATTTCCCCTCCCACTGCTCTATCTACCCTGCCCCTTCCCTCCACTGCCCCTCCCCTCTCCCCCCTGCCCTCTCCCCCCCCGCCCTCTCCCCCCCCGCCCTCTTCCCCCTCCCCTCTTCCCTCTCTGCCCAACTGGGGCGCCGGCAGGTTATAACAAGGCTGGCGTGAAACACTACACACATAGTTCACACAAGTTAATTGCCACAAGGTCGGTACATCGATCACCTGGCCTTAATACGCTGGGTGGGGGAGTGACTGGGGTTGTGAAGGAGGGTTGTGGGGGAGGTGGAGGGGTTGTGGGGGGGGGGGTAGAGGGTTGTGTGGGAAGTGGAGGGTTGTGGGGGAGGTGGAGGGGTTGTAAGGGAGAGGTAGAGGGTTGTGGGGGAGGCGGAGGGTTGTAAGGGAGAGGTGGAGGGTTGTGTGGGAGAGGTGGTGGGTTGTGGGAGGGATGGAGAGTTCTGGGAGAGGTGGAGGGTCGTGTGGGGGAGTTGGAAGGATGTGTGAGGGATGGAAGGTTATGGGGAGGATGAAGGTTGTAGGAAGGTGTAGGGTTGTGGGAGAGAAGCACACACCCCCGAGACAACCATACTCTCAGTACGTCTATCATGCAGTTTACAAATTACAAATGTTAACCAATTTAAGGTTATTTGTAATATTACACTGAACACTAAACTGTGTTATACATCAAAGTCATACTCGTTCAAGCCTAACTTAACCCATCCATTAGGTTTGAAACACCAAATTAGCTTAACTAATCACGCCTGAAACTAATCCATTAAACAACATTCTAAACAAAGGTTAATCTGCATTAAGACACCCTCTCCTCCTTGTATGTCTGGTAATATATCAGGTGAAGCATTACCGCGGCTTCACATGTTTACACACTTATATACTGGCGTGTATGTCTGTCTTGAGTCTTATATTCCTCGCTTAAAAGTAGTTTTTATGAGCGTTGTTATCTAAGTGAAGGGCAGTTCACTTGTTACATATTGTGGTGGCGGACCTTGGGGACACTGTACCCAAGGGTCAGACACCCCCCCCCCCCTCCCGCCACTTGTTCAAAATATTCCACCCAGTTATAATATCATATTTTGATAGGTTATTGAATTTGATGGGGTATAACGTATTTAATTCACATGATCTTGTTTACTAATACAACATTGACAATTTTAATTCCAAAACACCAATCCGATTTATTAAATAATAATACAAATCATTCTTTTACGCTACAAACACCAGTTCCACGCGTGTTTGATAAACATCTAAATTGGTCACGACTCTTCTAATAGAATATCTTATGAGATGGAGGAGGTGGATTAAGTAGAAATAGTTATTTATTATACAGGATTATCATCAGCTTGCACGCTATCAGGTCTTTACATTCTTGTTCCACGTAAGAAATACACGCAGATAAACATACTTGTTAAGTCTGTTACATTAGAAAATATATTTACTAATATTGAACTTGGCTATCATTCTTGTCAACACTGTATAGTACTGTGCTCTCAGAAAAATCCTTGGTAGCAGTGTACTAGCCTCGAGTATGCCAGTTCTGTACAGTACTTGCAGAAACAAGTGCTAAGCAACACTCTATTATCAGAAACAACATTTTTCAGCACGGTACTAGGAGAAATTAATCCATAAACATTGTACTAGCATAAATTATCACTTACCATCACTGTACTAGCTGCCAGATAAACGGTAAGAAAACCACTGCTGCAAAACAGTAATTTACTAACTAGAAAAAGTTGTCAAACCTTTCCCTCAATGAATGTCAGTGGAAGCAAGCCAATCTCCCAGTCAGACTCGATGGCTCTGGTGTCCGAACTACCATCCAAATTGCTACTCCAGCCTTCCTGTGTTCCTCGTCGGCATTGGATGACCTGTTCAAGGAAACTCTACCAGACAGTTTGGGGGACTTAGTAGGGCTACATGAGCCCCACTACAGCCAATGCATCACAAAATGGGGCACCCTGGCAGCCCTAGCACTCAGAGCAACCCTACTGAAAGCCGACAAACCATAGCTGGGACAGCCCCATCGTAGACAAAGAAGCTTCAACTTTGCTAGGAGCAACAGTGACGGCGCTTGCCTCGCAGCTGTGCCCCCTGCATGGAAATAGTCCATGAAGGGGATTTCCTTTTTGCAGTCCCTATGTCTGTCTGCAACAGGCACACATACTTGATCCACCGCGGCTCCATATTGCAGTCACCCTCCGCCTTGCGGCCCCAATCCACACTGTATACAAGTGTATTTGTGGCAAGTCAGATGCAAATGAAATGTACACTCGATCGCACAACCCACACTGCTGAAAATCAAGGGGTTGGCACTCGAGATACGACGAAGACAAAGACATTAGGAGGAGCCTTGCCTTGCTAGTGAGAGAGAGAGAGAGAGAGAGAGAGAGAGAGAGAGAGAGAGAGAGAGAGAGAGAGAGAGAGAGAGAGAGAGAGAGAGAGAGAGAGAGAGAGAGAGAGAGAGAGAGAGAGAGAGAGAGAGAGAGAGAGAGATAGAGAGAGAGATAGAGAGAGACAGAGAGAGAGATAGAAAGATAGAGAGACAGAGAGATAGAGAGACAGAGAGACAGAGAGACAGAGAGACAGAGAGACAGAGAGACAGAGAGATAGAGAGAGAGAGAGATCAAACAAGTACAGGGGAATAGATCACCTGAGCACAGGTAGTGTAGTATACAGTTTATATGATTTAGAGCGTGGATCACCTAATTCTCTCGGGCTGGAGTGGCAGCCACGAAAATGACAAGTTCCACGGGTAACAGTTAGTTACCTTGACATCCTTCCCCTTTAAGGGTAACCTACTAGCACAGTTGATAGAGCGTCTACCTCCCGTGCCGGAGGTCGAGCGTTCGAGGCTCCTATAGTGCATAAAAAGAATGAAATATAGGGTTAATCTAAGCTAGAAAGATAGTGACGTCCTAAATCTCACCCACAATACCCTAACTGTGACGTACAGGGCACAGCCCATTATCCAGCATTCGGAGTTAAGTGCGTGTGTGAGGTGTGCACAAGAGGAGCGGCGACTGTGTAAGAGGCAGGAATGCGTCAGTGGGTGCTGCGTGAGCAGGAGCAGCAGGTCAGGCGACACACGAGCAATGCGGCAGTGGAGCTCACCTCACGGATAATGACACAGGCATCCACACCCACCTATTGAGCTTCCCGAGAAACAGTCCAAGATAAGTGTTACCCGCGGGAAGGACGCGGCCCTCATCACGGCCACCGCTCCACTCTTGTCGATGCCATGATCCGGACACTATGCTTGTCACGAACGGATTTTTCCAGGACATTTATTTGGGTATGTGACAACATGTGTAGGTGGCTCACATTAGCTTCCTGACACACAGCTGGTAACATGGTGTGAAGAAGTTGGCGAGACTCTCGCTTGAGGTGGGTCACAGCTGACACACGCAGCTAGCGGGGACGGTTGATGGAGGACTGTGGTCACTGGTGACATCCATCACCTGCACACTGTGTGTGTGTGTGTGTGTGTGGGGGGGGGGGTTACTGCTACATCACGGGGGGGGGGGGGTGAAGAGGGCGAGGGGAAGGAAGGAGTAAAGAGGGCGAGGGGAGAAGGAAGGAGTAATGAGGGCGAGGGAGGAAGGAAGGAGTAAAGAGGGCGAGGGAGGAAGGAAGGAGTAAAGAGGGCGAGGGAGGAAGGAAGGAGTAAAGAGGGCGAGCGGAAAGTAGTAAAGAGGGCGAGGGGGGGAAGAAGTAAAGAGGGCGAGGGGGAAGGAGTAAAGAGGGCGAGGGGAGAAGGAACGAGTAAAGAGGGCGAGGCGGGAAGGAAGGAGTAAAGAGGGCGAGGGAGGATGGAAGGAGTAAAGAGGGCGAGGGAGGAAGGAAGGAGTAAAGAGGGCGAGGGAGGATGGAAGGAGTAAAGAGGGCGAGGGGGGAAGGAAGGAGTAAAGAGGGCGAGGGGAGAAGGAAGGAGTAATGAGGGCGAGGGAGGAAGGAAGGAGTAAAGAGGGCGAGGGAGGATGGAAGGAGTAAAGAGGGCGAGGGAGGAAGGAAGGAGTAAAGAGGGCGAGGGAGGATGGAAGGAGTAAAGAGGGCGAGGGGGGAAGGAAGTAGTAAAGAGGGCGAGGGAGGAAGGAAGGAGTAAAGTGGGCGAGGGAGGAAGGAAGGAGTAAAGAGGGCGAGGGGGGAAGGAAGGAGTAAAGAGGGTGAGGGGGAAGGAGTAAAGAGGGTGAGGGAGGAAGGAGAAAAGAGGGCGAGGCGGGAAGGAAAGAGTAAAGTGGGCGAGGGAGGAAGGAAGGAGTAAAGAGGGCGAGGGGGGAAGGAAGGAGTAAAGAGGGCGAGGGGGGAAGGAAGGAGTAAAGAGGGCGAGGGGGGAAGGAAAGAGTAAAGTGGGCGAGGGGGGAAGGAAGGAGTAAAGAGGGCGAGGGGGGAAGGAAGGAGTAAAGAGGGCGAGGGGGGAAGGAAGGAGTAAAGAGGGCGAGGGGGGAAGGAAAGAGTAAAGCGGGCGCGGGAGGATGGAAGGAGTAAAGAGGGCGAGGGGGGAAGGAAGGAGTAAAGAGGGCGAGGGGGGAAGGAAGGAGTAAAGAGGGCGAGGGGAAAGTAGTAAAGAGGGCGAGGGGGGGAAGGAGTAAAGAGGGCGAGGGGGAAGGAAGGAGTAAAGAGGGCGAGGGGGGAAGTAGTAAAGAGGGCGAGGGAGGAAGGAAGGAGTAAAGTGGGCGAGGGAGGAAGGAGAAAAGAGGGCGAGGGGGAAAGTAGTAAAGAGGGCGAGGGGGGGAAGGAGTAAAGAGGTTGAGGGGGAAGGAAGGAGTAAAGCGGGTGAGGGGGAAGGAGTAAAGAGGGTGAGGGAGGAAGGAGTAAAGAGGGTGAGGGAGGAAGGAGAAAAGAGGGCGAGGGGGGAAGGAGTAAAGAGGGCGAGGGGGGAAGGAAGGAGTAAAGAGGGCGAGGGGGGAAGGAAGGAGTAAAGAGGGCGAGGGGGGAAGTAGTAAAGAGGGCGAGGGAGGAAGGAGAAAAG